AAGCTCTCTTGATTTAAGTAAGGCTCTAAGGGAACGAATTTGGAGTTTTTTCTGGCGTGATGTGGAATTTCCCATTATAAAAGGAAGCGTTTTGCAGCAGTCTGACACTAAGGGGTTGGAGTGCCCTGACAAGTTACAAGCCTCTAGACTGCAGAAAAAATAGTGACGGTTTTAAATCTTTTGTTCTGGCCATGAGCCACCTTGAAGTTTCAAGTGCTCCGCAGGGCTAGTTAATTTAAATTCTCACTCAACTGGTTTTAGCTGTGGTTTGAATGCCCTGGGGGGGGGCAGGATAACGAAACTGACTAGGGAAGTTTTACCTTAGAAGCTGATTTCAAGGCTTACGTGGAGATTTCTTAGAACTTTAGGGATTTTTCTAGCGGTGTTGAGATAGAAAAAGTGGGGTGAAGTGATGGTTTCCAAGAAAACGTGCCTGAAATCAAGATTTCAGGGGATTTTGCTTGGCTCCCAGCACAGGTCTTCCCGCAAATTTGAGAGACTGGCAGCCATCCTAATGACTCTTACGTGGCCGTTGCGTCACCATATTTTTATATTAGAAAGATATATATATAGAGGTCTTTTGTCTATACCTGTACAGGCGGTCGGGGTCTGTTAGGGGGTCAAAGAGGCCTTCAGCTAATGTCAGGGAGTAGCCCTGACCAGGAAGCTTCAGTTGCCTCCCTGTCCTTAACGGTCGCATGCGAAGACTCTAGACCGGAAACTAAAGGAGGAAATTAGAAGAGATTTGTGTTGCCCTCCTGGTGGGGAGGGATACTCATGAATCCTGCATTTCAGAGGGCACCAGCTGCTAGCTGGCACAAGGTTCAGAGGCTCTCATGTTGGGAGCCAGATATGGGGGCGCAGGGATCTCGGGGCGCCAGCTGCTAGTGTGGCGCCGGTCTCCTGCGCGCACCTGGGAAGCGGCGGGTCCCACGGCACATCTGTTCCGTGTTGCTGGTGGGTCCCTGCTTCTCTACATCTCTGTGGGTCTCTGCTACCGGGGCTGGCCCGGTCGAGTTCCACCCCAATTTCACCCATGCACTTCCTCGAGGTGCGAGATCCGTCAGCTGCCGGGTCCCCAACACATGTCACTAAAACTCTTTATGACTTTCTGGACTTCTTTCTGATCTGTGCAGGTTGGCTCACTTTTACATTCAGCCTATGAAAACTGAATGAAGAAGACAACCACAACACCCACATCCCAGGTCACTGGGTGATATACCTGTGGGGCACAGTGAATAGCAACACAAAGGCAAAGAAAACGGAAATGACACCCAAGACACAAAGCAGCAGTGACAGGGAATGGGGAGTCACAGTCCTTAATACTCTAGACCCTGACTAGCTGCTGTGGTTCAAATCAATAAGCTCCACCAATACTAATACATGTGAGCAAGTCTAACTCGATGTGGTGGACCACAAACTTAAAGGAGGGTAACAGGAAAGTCAGAGAGGGATTTGCTGGGATGAAGGGGTTCAGTGGAAGAAGAAAAGGGAGGGGAGAAGATAATAGGGTTATGATCACAGTGCATTATATGTACATATCAAATTATAAAATAATAAATTCTTTTGACAGAATGCAGAATGACATGAAACTATAACCCCTAGAATAGTTCCCACAGAACTCAAGCAAGAGTCACGGCTTCAAAATCTTATTGACAATGACCCTGAAACAATCCAAAATACCTCACAAACAGAATTTCAGAAACTATGGATTTGTATGGGAAAAGACAATGAACAGGCAGCTGAAAATGCCTACCAAAACATCTGGCCAGTAAAAGGGGTAAACTTTGTGAGTGCTAAATAACTTAGAAAAAGAACTGTCACTTAAAAGTACATTAAAATATCCTTCAGAAATGTAGATAAACTAATGACCTTGGTGAACTAAACAAAAGATTTTTTTGTCTTTATATCTGATCTTAAATATAAATTTGAAAATTTCTTGAGACATCTTTTTAGCTACTAGGAAATAATAGTAGATGAAGCTTGGAATTAAAGTTATAAAGATTATAGCTTTCTAATAAGGATTTCTATTTGTGATAATCTAATAATTATACAAGTATAATTTAAAGGGAGTAGCACTTAAAAACATCTATGATGGCAATTACCTAAAAATACTGTTAAATATTCATTCTAAGTAGATTACATTGTAGTTTTTAATTATTGTCATTTTTATCTAATACAAAATTTCATATATATTACAGAACTTTATATATTCTAATAAGGATTTCTATTTGTGATAATCTAATAATTATACAAGTATAATTTAAAGGGAGTAGCACTTAAAAACATCTATGATGGCAATTACCTAAAAATACTGTTAAATATTCATTCTAAGTAGATTACATTGTAGTTTTTAATTATTGTCATTTTTATCTAATACAAAATTTCATATATATTACAGAACTTTATATATGTAACTATAATAGTACAATAATTTATGTTAATATATAATAACCTTTTTTATCTAATACAAAATTTCATATATATTACAGAACTTTATATATGTAACTATAATAGTACAATAATTTATGTTAATATATAATTTAACCTTTTTATGTTATTGAAACAAATATTTTTCTTTAAAATATTAATATTTTAAGATGATAACATTCGTACTTAACACATACATATATTTTGATAATCTGTACTAGCAAATTAAGACTAGTTCAGTTTTGTAAAAACAATAGCGATGTTCTATCATCATGCTAAAAATCTGAAGAAAAAAGATGCTTAACCATTTTCAATAAATGCATAAAACTATTAAAATATGTTGTTTGCTGATGAGAGCATAAAGCAAGCTATGAATAAAACAAACTTTCTCAACCTGATGAGGAATTTTATTGTCTTTTCCAAAACTCCTAATATCCAAAATTCAAAAGTAACATCACACTTATATGCTGTCCTAGTTTGCTTTATATTGCTGTGATCAACTACTCTGACCAAAACCAACCTGGGGAGGAAAGGGTGTATGTGGCATACGTGTCCCTATCACATTTCATCTTTGAGGAAAGCCTGGACAGGAACTCAGGGCAGGATCCTGGAGTGAAGAACGAAAGCACATAACCTGCAGCAAGGCGACTTCCTGCTTTGTTCCCCTGGGTAATGCTCAGTCTGATTTCTTATACAACCCAGGACCGTTTGCTCAAGGATGCACCATGTGCAGTGGGTTGGTCCCTTCTGTATCACTCCACAATCAAGAAAATGCCTCTCAGACATGCTGACAGGACAGTCTGATGTAAGAGATTCCTCAGTCAAGGTTCCCAGTTCCCCAGGTCAACCACGACAAAGTAAAAGAGCAAAAATTTTCCTCTTAAAATTGAAAAACAAGTTAGGCATGTTTCACCACACCACTCCCATCTGGCATTCTGCTAGAGGCTGCTGGGGGAGGGAAAATCACTTTTCCTTGCAGGGAGGCCACTGGTAAATTGTCAGTCTCTGCTGGATGACCCCACACCCACAAGAATACTAATTGTGCTAATTGGATTCATATGGAGAGATGACTCAGCAGTTAAGAGTAGTCACTGCTCTTGCAGAATATGGGGGTCTTGGTTCTCAAAACTTACATGTCTGCTCACAACTGTTTGTAACTCTAGTTCCAGGGGATCTGAAGCCCTCTTCTGATCTCAGCTGATACCAGGCACACACACACGTAGCCAAACACTCATACACATAAAATAAAAGGTATTTAAAAATCTAAACATAATTAATTTAAAAAGAACAAAGTGTTGGGAGGAAAATGTGTTGCAGGGGTTCCTGGGGAAGTTGGATGGAAGTGTGTGTGGGGGTGGCTATTATCATGATACACTGCATACAGATATAAAATTTTTAAGAAACAAAAATATTATTTTTAAAAAGGAATAATAAATATGAGTCAAGAATATCCCATAAATGATACAAAAAATGAATATTTGCCTATCTATTGTTCCAATAAAATGCAAATAATATTCTTTCCCCTGGTAGATATATCAAGTTTTTGTAGCCATTAATGCAAGATTGACAGAGAACATAATATACTAATGAATTCTAAAACTCTTTAATTATTGATCTTACATCAAACAGCTTCTCATGTAAAACTTACTTGTAGAAACCAAGATAATTTCCATGAAGTCCTACAGGACTTAGAAAAATAATTAAAATAAATTCATGTACATTAGAAAGTCATTTTAAAATGCAACGTGCTGAGCTAGATATCTCATTAAAGGCACATTGGCTTGTATTTCCTAGTTCTCTTTCATTAAGAAATAAAACATTAAATGGTAAAGATTCACCCTTAGAAAATGCACCCAAGATCTCCCCCGTCGGTCTCTCCTCCTAGCCTGGGTCCTGTTCCGTTCCTTGTCTTGGCACCCCAGACACCTGGGGAACCACCACTGCTTCTTCCTGATCCTGTGCATCCAGACCAACTCAGTTCCTTCTTGGGTCCCCAGGGGCGCTCTGGGCCTAGCCCTGCACTCACCTCCCTCTGCCTCCCTGGGTCTGCACAACCCACCAGCCTGTTTCCCAGACACTGGGGTCTTTTGCATCCAGACCAACTGAGCTCCTCAGTGCAGTCTCCAGGGGCCCTTGAAGCCACCTCCTGCCCCCATCTTCCTTTACATCTCTGGGTGACATAGCCACCAGCTTTCCTAGACCAGCATCTTTCCTGGGCCCAGCTCCCAGCCAGTCCCAACCCCCAAATTCCTGAAGCCACAATCTATCCTGGAGGGATCCAGACCTT